CCCCAAAACCCCAAAACCCCAAAACCCCAAAACCCCAAAATTTTACAAATTATTGAAACCATTTACTTATTTTTCAGCTTATCTTTATAAAGACAAGCGCCTGAGGAGTTCTTAGAGTCTATCTTTAGTGTCTTGGCTACCTTTCTAGTTGCTCTCTCACTAGGCTGGGGTTGCTTCATGAGCACATTTTTGACAGCCTTTTTCTTATACTTAGGCCTTAATGAAGGAGGGCTAGCAGCTTCTTTTTCTAAATTCTACTGATGAAGTATTGATCATACCTTGTTTACTCGAGACTTGGGATTTTCAATGGAAAGCTAGAATTGATAAGTACAGAACTTACAGCTCTTCTATTTCTGTACGATCTTTTTCGCCACCTTTTTAGTCATATTGAGAGATGTGATACAGTTGAGGTTTCTAATCTGCTCTCTCCACTCTTGTTTCTCAAAATATGAGCTATTTAGGCTCGATTTTCTACAGAATAATTTTTAAGAATTTACTCCAGTGGATTGACTCTTGTGAACACCTAAATGGTAAAGCTTATGGGCATTACTTGGGATCGGTTTCTCGTGAAGCTCATTCTGGAGGTACTCTTTTGATAGAAGATAGTCTGGATCTGCGAGGCATTTCCGTACAACCTCTTTGTATTTATCGAGCTGGGGCTATCAATAAGATGAGCTTTTAGTTAATTAAAACCTTTCTAATTATAAGCCCAGCCATTGTGCACTTACAAACCGAGTATTGCTTGAATTTGAATTAAGAATGTTGTCAATTTCAGGGTCATTGTGATCAATATTTGTGATATTGGATTTTCTGATCCGAAACTTTTTAAACGGCAGACCAGGATTTCGAAACGAGTGAAGAATATTAGTCCCTCCTGTTCGTTTCAATTGGGTTATATTTAACGAAGCAATATTAGAAGTTGTAGAAGTTAGTTCTATATATTAATTTTACTTAAAGGGCTCACCTCTGGAGAATCTTTTCCGTTTTTCAGAGGATTTTTCCTTCTTTCTAAACTCAATGATGCCTTTGATTCGATCAGTATTAGAGCTTTCATTTTGAAGGGCATTCTCTTCACTACAAAATGAGCTAAAGATCTTACAGCTCTGCAGGTGGTATATCTTTTCCATCAAACGAGACCTCGTGGTTATTTCCATCAATTTCATTTTGCAAGTGAATATGAAGCATGCTAAACCATTATAATATGGCTTACTTATTATTGTCTGAAGTCTGAGAGTCCATCAGATTATGGTTGGAAGGACTTCCAAACTTTGGTGACATGTACTTGTCTGGTGTGCTATATTCATAATTCACACTCAGGATATTCGAAAGATTTTCTTCAGCTATCGTTCCAATCTTTCTGATACCTTTTCTACTGTTGAAGTTTCTTCGTGATTGGATTTGGTCTGAGAGGATAGGAAATTCAGGTGTCTAAATTTAAGCTAAATTCTCACTTTTAAATCATTTTTACGATCAGGCATGGCAGCTTCATTAGCCTCTACCAATGGCCAGTGGGTGTGGCTGGCCAACACTTTGTGAGTTCTTTTTGGCAGAAAGCTCCTTTTAGGTTTCTGGCTCTCTGAATTATGGTTTATCATATCCTTAATATCATCCTATAGTAAGTTATTATGAAATTTTACGTTTATTTCTTCTCTACAAATTGTTCTTGAAGGGAGCTATATTTTTAATATGAGAGGCTGGGCAGCCTGCATTAAGCCCTTCTAGGCTATCTTCGGTCTGACTTACTTGAGCTAAACTATACTTCTGCATGAACTGGGGAGCCATTTTGTCTATAAATTATCGCTTCCAGGACTGCATAGCTATTTAAAGGCATATTCCGACTCTTCAGACTACTTACTCGACACTTGAAAGCGCTTATTTTTATCTGGAGCTAGCTTGGCCAAGATTTCTCTCTGAAGACTCTTGGATAGGTTAAAATGAGGTTTTGATAATTGACTTAAGCAGAGTTTTTTGGTGTTTTTGTTGACACGGACCTCCATTAATAATATTTTTAATTTTGTTATTCTATTGTTAAGGAAGATTTAGGGGTTTTGGGGTTTTGGGGTTTTGGGGTTTTGGGG